GTGGCCGCGCTCGGGCCGTCGACGGGCCCCCGTACCCCGGCTCCAAGACGTACAGAGTATGCCACCATGCAGCAACTGTTGACGCCTCCTCCTCCTCCTCCTCCCTCCTCCCTCCTCCTCCTCCCTCCTCCTCCTCCCTCCTCCTCCTCCTCCTCCTCCTCCTCCCCGTCCTCCTCCTCCTCCTCCTCCTCCTAGTAGATGCTGCCATACTCGGCATGGGTCGGGACGGCTACAAGGTCTCGTGGGTTCTAGGCCAAACTTCCAGCGTCCAAAATGACCGCACTGGCGCCCAACCTCGGACCCCTCTGCAGCTCTGGGAGGCCTGGAATTGGCGTCAGCCTGTGCCTCCGATAGCCAGACCGCCGGCCTGAGCGTGCAATGCAACGTCCCTCTTCAGCAACTTCGCGCTTTGGACGCTCGAAGTGGGCACGGCAACAACCAAGGGCGTGCGACACCGACAACGGACGCTGGTGGGATGGCAGTCTGTTTGTCTCCAATGGATAATGTCCGCGGCGACGTCGACAACGATCCGGGTTCACAGTGGACAGGAATTGCTGTCGGTTTTCGTCCCCATCTTTTCCATCCCCAGTTCGATCGTACCGACGCGCAGTCAGTGCCACTCTGCCGTGGTGTCGCACGGACGGCCAGTGCTCTGCTGTTGCTAACAAGCGGTTGGGGCTGTTTCTTTTCGTTCTCCATCTTTCGCTTGTGGCTTCACCAGAACGTGTTAAAAACTGCACCCTGGGAAGTTTGCGTCAGTCAGACGGCACCCTGATACGTGATAACGCAATGTTTTGACATTCGCACTCCAGGTGGCTCCCTCCACCACCTTGCTCGAGCAGCCCGCGCCGTTGCGCCAACTGTGCGAAGGGCCCCTGGGCGAGGCTCTTCTCGCCCAGGACACTGAACACGGGCAGGTGGGCCACGGACCCGATCCCGGACCCCATCGCTGGCCGATTCGGGGCATCCCACCCCCGAGACATGGCGCCATTGCCGCGCGGGGATGGACAAAACCCCCTTTAGCAAATCGTGGTTTAGCGAAAACGACCTCGGGCCCAACCCTGGCGGGCGCAAGCCTGGAAAACGACGGCCGCGGCGCCCTCTCGAGAACCGAAAACGGACAATCCGCTAACCGACGTGTCAGGGCGGGGGTTCTGTCCATCCCCGAGCCGCCTGATTTGGCGACGCAGCGCGCCGATGTGGAGTGGAAGCGGGGCACGCCGCTAGTCCGTGCGCCTGCATACAGTTCACGTTTCCTCGACTGGAGCAGCAATTTCAGGACACACTCCTGTACCACACGCGCGCCCGGAGTGCCAGCGCAAGCTTCAACGCGCCCCCCTGCCACAAATGCAGTGTTGGTTGGCATCCTCAGCAAGCCGCAGGGTTCCGGCCAGCTGACAGATCGAGACATCACGCGCAGCCCGCCAATATTGAATGGGGGGCGCGGGGGATGTCCACAAGTTGGCGCGTGTTGCCGTCGTCGTCGTCGCCACCGCCGCCGTCGCCGCCGTCGTCATCGTCGTCTTCGTCGTCGTCGCCGTCGCCGTCGCCGCCGCCGCCGCCGCCGCCACCACCGTTGTCGTCGTCGTCGTCGTCGTCGTCGTCGTCGTCGTCGTCGTCGTCGTCGTCGTCTTCGTCGTCGTCGTCGTCGTCGTCGTCGCCCTCACCCTTCAGGATCGGCGGCACCGGCTTTAAGGGGTTCGCAATCTACATATAGACAAGCGCGTTCCACTACTCGCAAAGTAGCTACTCGCAAATGGCCTGGATCCGCCGCGGGGGAATTACTCGATACATCCCAGCGAGGCAAGCCGATGTTTTGCGGACGCTTGCGAGTAGGCACTTCGCGAGTAGTGGAACGCGCTCGGAGCACATGAGAGGTGTAGGACTTTGCCCCTCAGCCAACGGGGAGGAGGAGGAGGGAGGAGGAGGAGGCGGAGAATCGGAAGGGGGAGGAGGTGGAGGAGGTGAGGGGAACGGTGCTTCGCACTTTTTCTATTGAGGCTCTTTGCGGAGCTTCCTTTCTTTACTTCTTTGGCTTAGGCTTATCTTGAGCGGAGGAGGATTTCTTGCTTTTCTGATCCCCTCCTTTGACTTCTCATCCCCGCTTCTCATCCCCGGCGCACTGGGGCGCGCACCGGGGCGCGCAGCGTGCGAGAGCCTGGCTCGCCCGCCCAGCGCAGGGGGGCGCCCACGCGAGGCACAGGCGGCCCCAAGAGGCCCCCAGGCGGCCCCGCATGGCTCCGAGGTATCTTTTTCTTCCAGAAGCAAGTTCCAGCTGCCAGCTCTGGTGTCTGGAGGGTGCACTGGTCAAAACGTGCGTGCACCGTGCTCCGTGGGTCTCGGGCTTTCCACGTGCTGAAGAGTCTGCGAGCGTCCACGGATCAGACAAACAAAAGCAGTGAAGACACTCAATCAAGTCTGGTGATCCACGTGCCGATCGCCAAAGATGGTCCCAGGGGTACCCGAAATGACCCAAGAGTGCCCCACGAGGGGGGGGACCCGAACTGAAGTTTGGCGCCCTCCGCCCCAGGATGGCCCCCCGAGGCCGCCAGCAGGCCCCAACGACGCCCTCCAGAAGCCCCAGGCCAGCAGCCAGCAGGAGTGCCTGCTGGCATCTCGGCGTCTGCTGTGGCCGTGAGGCGCCCGTCGGACGGGTCGCGCCAGTGTGCTCCCGTTTTGACTCCATGTGAGAGACGGCCTGAGTTCGAGTTTCAATCCGGGCACACGCCAGCATGGCTTGCGGGTCCATGGATCTGGCGCGCGGGCGCCAGGTACACGGCTCGGGGAAACTGCCCTGGAAGCATGAAGCCGACGTCGCCCGGTGTGGCGACGGAAGCGCGTCGACCTCGAACGGGAGCGGGACCCGCCGCTGGTCCGCGCGCCCCGTTCCATGCCTGCGCTTCCTCGGAGCATCGCTGCGGATCCTTCTGCTCCTCTTCCTCCCCCGCTCTGCCCCCCCCCCCCTGAAGCTCGTTTGAAGTCGGGCGTGTCCCCCTACAGGGGGATTTCCGACGGAAAATACAGCAATATCAAACACATGCTCCAACATTGTCAACAAAAATACTCAAAAAGTAGTCCCCAGGCTATTGTTTGACTGTTCTTGAATTTGCCCCCTGTAGAGGTTGGCGGCGCGTGGCTGTAGAGGGACAGGCCCGACTTAAAGCTCGTTGCTCGCAGCAGCGCCCACCCGTTCCCGTGCAGGGCGCCGAGCGTGCTGGCTCGCGCGCGCGAGCCCCTCACAGCAAGCGCCAGGTGAGCACGGACATCGTCTCGCCATCGCTCGGGCGTCCCTTCCCTGCGCTTTTTTCGGTTTCGTGCGTGGCTGTTTCGACAAATGTCAGAGGGACGTAAGACCTGGGTACAGGGGACTCGGAAATCCCCGACGAGGTCGTCAAAAAAATTAACGAGGCCGAGCCTGCATTTTGACGAGGCCTCCCGCTGCAGACATCCCACGAAACTCCTCCTCGTCAAAATCCGAGGCGCGGTCGTCAAAAAACGATGGCGAACCCGAGTCCTGGCAAACCCAGGTCTTACGCTCCCCCGATCCTCGCCGAAAGAAAAATGCACACGTCCGAGCGACGCGAAGTCGTGCATCTTAAGCAGGGAAGCCCGCGCAGGGAAGGGCTGAAAACTTCAGGCCTGCGCCAGGGTGGAGAGACCGCAGTGGCAGTCTGGGCGGTCGCTGCTGGGACCGCAGCCGTGCGACCAGCAACGTGGCACCGAGATGAATCCGACGGGGGAGGAAGTCGACGACCACAACGACGAGAGGAGGAGCGAGAAGGCAAGCACAAGCGAGACTTTTTTGCACAACTGTGACGAGGCCGATGCCTGGAGAGCAGTCTTCTACTCGGGGCGACAAGGGGCGCGAGGGGGACTGAGGGGGACGGTGAGGGGGGGCGGGGGGCACTACGGGACGCCTCCCCCCCGCCGTGTGGGTCCGGTACCTCGGATGGGCGTCCTGGACGCGCTGCGGCAGTGCCGGGGACCCACCGGGGTAGGGGGTGCGTTGCCCATCGGTCGGAAGAAGTAAGTGGAACCATGAGATAGGAAGGCGTTGAAAATAGGTTGGGTTTCCGCCCGCCCCCTCAGGATGACGGAAAAGGGGAAGCCACTCGACCATTGCAGTAGGAAGGCGCCTGAACCTGATGGGAAGGAACCTGGGATTCCCAAACATACCTGCTTTCAACGGCCGATGGGTACGTTATGGGGAGGGGGGGGAAGGGGGAGAGGGGGAACACAGCGCGCGCCATGGCCCAGAGAGAAACACAGCAAAAAAATTGCGATATGTGGCATGGGCCCCCCCCTTGAGCCGATCCCCCCCTTTGTCGATGCAATGGTCCTCGTCGTCTGGTTTTCGGTCACAGCGTGGCTTTCTGGCGGCCGCTCGGGGCGATCTGCGCACCCCCGAGAACGCCGCCGTAGCAAGGGGCAGCTTCTGCCAGGCCTCCTGAGGCTGGACAGGCGCCGAGAGCCGACGACAACGCTCGAACACCTCGAACTTGCCTTCTCGAGCGTTGTACCTGGAGGCAAAACCAGGAGGGGGAGGCATCGGCGACATGCATAGGGTGGCCCTGGCCAAGAGTGACCCTTCGCACACGCTTGAAGAGGGCGCAACATGGCCCAACCCGAGCGCGCCAGCAACCGCAACCGCATCGCGCTCTCTGTGATCGGGGGGGGCCAGGCAAGCCCGCACCAAGAGGTCGCTCTGGCAAAGGGCCACGCTTACGCGTAGTCTTAGGTCGGGCATGTCCTCCTACAGGCGGATGTTTTGGGAAAAAGGCGAAGTAGTAAACCAAGTGCTCCAAAATATTCTAAGATTGTAAGACGACGTCCCAATATATTCGTTAAAAACTACGTATTAAGAATATTCCTCCTGTAGAGGGACAAGCCCGACCGAAGGGTAAGCCCGCACCAAGAGGTCACTCCGGCGAAGGGCCACTCCTTACGCGTAGTTGGAGACAACGGCGCGGCGACGGCGGCGACGGCCCAAAGGCGCCCGTCGCGCCTGGAAGCCGGCGAGCTCGCCGCGGGCGAGGTCGCCAGCGCGGCGGGGGGGCGGCGAGCCGTTGCAGGCGCGGCCCCTGGGCGTGGAGGGCTCGGCCTCCTCCTGGCGCGGGCGGCGGGGCGGTGGGCGCAGGACGAGGCCCACGACCCCCCCGCGCTGTGAGAAGATCGCAGCGGGAGGTTTTTCGCTACTTTCGGCCCATGAGAGCCCTTCCCGGGCATCGGGACCGTAAGAACAAAACAAACTCCGGATGAAAAGCCGGTCCCGGGGCATGGGCAAAAATCATGATGTCGGGGGTCTGGGGACAGGACAAAGTACAAGAAACCCAACCCTGAGACCCCAGGACGTGCCTTGATTTCTATGGTGTGGGAGCGTCACGCCTTTCAACAGCAAAACCATCGAAGACCTCGACACCCAGGGCACCCTGGAGCCAAGCAGACAGAGTGTTTCTTGGCAGACAGAGTGTTTCTTGGGCTGGAGAGGACACGCGAGAGGACACAAGACCCTTCCGAGGGCCACGTTGCTACAATAATCTGGAAGGCATGCGTCGCGAACGCACAGGGCGCAAGAGTACCCTTGGTTTGGCAGGGTCGCCCTACTAATCCGCCTCGACTGTATGAGCCCATGGAGCGGGCAGACACAGAAGAGGCGGAGGCGCAGGAGGCGGAACCGAGACCTCCGCCGCGATCCAGGGACGAGCTCCCTGGGGAGGGGGGGGGCGCTGTGGGGGCAGCGGGCGGGAAGGCGGCGGGAGTGGAACTCGTGGGGACGACCAGGGCCAAGCCAGGGGTGAAAAGAGAGAAAGAGAGAGAGAGAGAGAGAGAGAGAAAAAGGGAGAAAAAAAAGAGGAGGAGGGGGAGCAGGAGGAGGAGGAGGAGGAGGAGGAGGAGGAGGAGGAGGAGGATGAGGAGGGAGGAGGGGGAGGAGGAAGAGGGGGAGGAGGAGGACGAGGAGGAACGAACGAACGACGAACGACCACCAGTGCGGACAGCAGTCCGGGCCTACTGGAGACTGGGTGAACGAGGCCGTGGCCTCTGAAATACGACTGTGTATGGAAATGCGTGCATGCGAGACATAATGATGTGCGGAAGGGGAGGGGAGGGGGGGAAGAATCCTTGTAGTCGATGTCGCGGTGTGTTGGTGCCGCGTCGTTGGGTGGAGTCTGTGTTGGTCGTCTGTGCTGGGTTTGGTGTTGATGCTGGCGCAAGGCGCCGGTAATCGGTGTGGCGGTGCTTGGTTGTTGGTGGTCGGTGCTTGTGGTCGCGTGGTCGGCCGTCAGCGCTGCATGTTACAATTCGTAATGTCATGCAGCGGCGGAAACTCTCTCGAGTGACTTCCACAATGTCGTCCGTGTCGCACCTATGAGCCACCTCACATCGTTGGTGTCGAAACGGAGGTACCGTCGTTGGCGTCGCGTTGTGTGTTATCTTCGCCTGCCTGTCGATGCATGATGTGTAGAAAAATCCGCACATCGTCGTCCCATCGCTTGTGCTGGCCACCGTGTTGTCGATAACCCAGTTGTTTTGTGTCCGCGTTGGGGTTCCAGTTCAGAACTCGCTGTGTCCACCTATTCGATGGGTGGGTCGCTACGAGTGCTGTCCACTGCCAAACCATTTTGCGATGCATTTGGGTGACGTCTGCGATGTCGTGCATGCTCATGAGCTCCTCCGCTCTGCGGGTGCACCGGCGGATGTAGATGTAGTCGGACCAGAGTTCGGCATCGTCTGCCGCCTGCAGGTGCGTCGGAGTCGGGTGGGGTGGGTCGATGCTGTCGTCACTTGATTGGGGTGGGTCTGATGGGGTCGGTGGGTGGCTGGAGGCGTCGTGGTTGCTGGAGTCGTCGGAGGCGCTGCCGTCGAGATCATCGTTGTCAGATTTGCCTGTCGCTGGGGCAGCATGCGTTGGTGAAGCTGCTGACGTGTGTCGCCGCGGTGTCCCGAGAATCGCCCTGATCATCCGTCGTTGCGTGCGAGGCAGCTGCTGTTTGAGGGGTTCTGTTATTGTTCATGACTCTGGGTATGACGGTGCCACGGTGTAGGTATGACGGTGCCACGGTATAGTCGTAGTCCGTGCTTGAGTGGGTAGTGCTTGCTCGTTAGTTCCTGCCTGTGCCCTGTGAAGCACGCCCATGCAGCTTGGATGCGATGCTGGATCTCGGTCGTCGATGCGTCTTGAGATGATATTGTCTGGCCGAATTACTTCAACTTCCTGCTGGGTGGGAATATTTCAATGCTCATGGTTGCAACTCTTGCCGATCGCGTTCGGGTCCCGGTCCGGTTTATCATGATCTTTGTTTTGGCCGGGTGTATTTCAAGGCCGTGAGGAGCTGCTGCCTTGATTCAGTCCCCAAGCAATGTCTTCAACTGGGGTAGCGTCTGACTGACCAGGAGGATGTCGGCGAAGCAGAGGTTGGTAAGAACAGATTCGTTGGTGCGTGATAAATGTGCTCCTCGTCGTCGTCGCTGCCAATCCGGAATGAGAGGTTACATGGTGTGCTGTAGTAGAACGTTAAAGAGCAGTGAACTCAAAGGGTCTCCTTGTTTTGTGCCTCGTCTGAGCTTGAAAGGTTTGCTGGTGGAGTCGGTGCGGACAGACGCTGGAGCAGGTGGACGCACTAGGGTTGCACGCCTTGTCGTCGTAGTGCTGTCCATAGGCTGCTGTGTTCTATTGCGTCGCACGCTTTCTTAAAGTCTACGACATCAATATATAGGGTCTGGTTCCATTCGGAAGCTCGTTCGCGCAGGATGTTGGAACTGAAAGGGTGGTCTCGCGCACCGCGTCCAGGTCTAAACCCCGCTTGGTCTTCGGGCTGGCATTGTTCAAGGACTGGCTGTAACCTGTTGCAGAGCAGATGACTGACTAGCTTGTATAGACCGGGCATCGCACAGATCGGACGGTAATTCTGTGGAAGAGAAAGGTCTCCCGATTTGGGTATGACTGTGATCACTGTTTTCCTCCAGCTTGCTGGCGTCTGGGCGTTCGGTTTGAGGACGGCGTTGTATAGCTGCAGCAAAGCATTTTGAAGGTCAGTGCATGGCTTCTTGAGCATTTCGGCTGCGATCCCTTCGGTGTCCGGTGACTTCACCCAGCTTGAACTGCGAGATTGCTGCGTCAAGTTCTTGCGCCGTGAAGGGTGTGATGTGCTGTTGGGTGTCGGCCGTGCTTGGTGCTGCGTCGACGTTGCTGGTGGATTTGTATAGCTCTTCGTATAACGACGCGAATGCAACGGCAATGTCATGACGAGTCGTGTGCTTGGTGCCGGCGTTACCAACCATTTCCGTAATGAGCGTTCGTTTTCTTCTCGTCTTGATGGAGCTGATGCGCTTGAGGTCCCTGTGCTGTTCGAAGGTAGTGCCGATTAGCTGACGTCGTTTGGTGCGTTTCGGTTGCCGAATGTGTTTTTGTATTGCTTTGCTGATCGTCCGTCTGCTGCTCGTGTCTGCGTTTGGAATGCAATTGCGCTGCTCCACAAGGTTGGTGATGATGTAGTGGTTTGTGCGTCACGGGGGGATGTGACGTGGAGCGTAGCGTCGTTCAAGCTTTTTTTGATTGTTTTGTCGAGGTCGTCGGGGTCAGCTGGTAGTACCTCGGGTTGCAACTTGGAGCCCAGATGACGTCGATACGCGTTGGGGTCGGTGTGTTTTTGTTCCAGTTTGGTGGTATGTCTGGCCAGTCGCTGGTGTCTGCCTGCGTTGGGATCCAATATTTTGAAGCACATGTGCAGAGATACAGCTTTGTGGTCGGAACTGAGATCACTTGCGTTGCTGGTTTCGGCGTTCCGGCATGAAGGTAGCAAGCACCTGTCCACGAGTATGTAGTCGTACTGCCGAGGCTTGCCGCCTGTCGTTGCGTAGGTGATCAAATTGTCATGGCGTTTGCGGAAAGATGTGTTCACGATTGCAAACCTCTCCTTCGTATCCCAATGTCGCAACCATTGGCGTCGGGAGTTTTCGTCGCTGAACCCGTCGGGCCCCACGTACTTAGAACAAATGTCGGATTGGGGTTGCGCAACAGCGGCGTCGTCCCTCGAATGTACGTCCGGGGAGCGTGGTTGAGAACCCATTTGGGCGTTGAAGTCCGCGCCCATCATTGTGTGCATTCGTCGGAACGTGCTTCTCTGAGTACAGCGCTGGCGGTGTCGTGCAACTGTTGGATGTGGTGATCTGTATATCCAGTGTGCCGAAAGTACGCCGATACCAATTGTAGTCGAAGCCTCCCCTTCCTGATGCTGAGCACCGCGATTCTCGCATTGATGGCCTGGAACTCTGGCACGTGTTTGCTCCAACGCTTGTGCAGAAGTTGCCAGACCCGCAAACATTGGTCCATCTGTAGTGGTACATAGCTCTCGTTCTATCGTGCGCCACGTTTCGTTGCTTAGAACTGCATCCCAATGCAAACCACGTGGCTCATGCAAAAGTTAATCGGTCCGGTCGTTCGTCTCCAGAGATCTCGCATTTTTGTGGGTGACTCTGAAATATATGATGCCAGACTCGTCACGATTTGCCTGTTGATGCGTCGGATCGTGTTGGGTGGGGGGGGAAGGAGAGGGGATGGGGGAGGGAGTAGGGAGGGAAAGGAGAGAAGGGAGGGGAGAGGGAGGACCGGTCGACGTTGCTGGTCTGTTGTCTGTGGTGGGTGGTAGTGGGCGTTGTGAGTCTGTTGGGGTCGGTGCTGTTTGTGGTGGTTCTGGCAGGTCGTGGAACTGGTGGGTGCTGGTGGGCGCTGGTCGGTGGGTGGGTGCTGGTGGTCGCTGCTGGTCGGCTGGAGTCTGTGCTGCGTGTGGCGGTGTTGCTGGTCGGTCGCGGTCGTCGCTGGGCGCAGGTGGGTGGCGGTGGTCGCTGCTGGTCGGCTGGAGTCGGTGCTGCTTGTGGTGATGTTGTCGCTGGTCGGTGGGTGGCGGTTGGCGCTGCTGGTCAGCTGGAGTCGGTGTTGCTTGCGGTGACGTTGCTGCTTGTCGCTGGTCGGTGGTGTGTGGTGGTGGGTGCTGCTGGCTGGTTGTGGTCGGTTCCGTTTGCTGTGATGCAGGTGGGTGTTGGTCGGTGGGTGGCGGTGGGCGCTGCTGGTCGGCTGGAGTCGGCGCTGCTTGTGGTGGTGTTGCTGGT